TTTTTTTTTGAGTTGCAAAATCCACTTGAACATGACGCTGCTTTTTTCGAGGTTTCTCAAAAACCATTCGAGCCAGAGAATTCGTTTTGGCATCGTTGGATAGATAATTGAATTGGGGGTCATCAACTCATATAGGCATGTACAGAAAAGGTAGTTGAGCTAAATATTATACTATTATACGCCTTAAATTTACTTAAATTGTCGTGTGTGTATAATCTACAAATGTTATTGTTTAATTTATAATAATATATTATTGATTATTTTATTCCCTGTGCCATATGAATGATCGACTATTTCGTTAAAATGTTCAGTTTTATCTATATATGAACAGGTTGCCAGGCATTATATGGTCTGAAACTTTTCTCAGCACATCCAGAAGTCTCTGAAAACCATTCTACCAAAGTCCGTGACTTCCACTCTTTGGAAGTTATTGAAAAGAATCTTCCATTTTGCAACCTCTTTCAAAACCTAATGGAAATGTTAAAATCGTACCTGCATTGTTGACTTAGCCAGCTCAATGGGACTGCAAATAAAGCTCTGAACTAATCCTGCAGTTCCACCAGCAATGGCGTGACTTATTAATAAATCTGGATTTTGCATGTGCCTTTGAGTATTGCCATAAATGCCAAATACTATAGCGTTTATTCCGGCCACACCTGCAATCAGCGTTGTTTTTTTAGTTTTCTGTCCTCTTTAAACCGCTTCCCAAGCGCTTTTTTAGATGCATAAGTGCCGCTTACCAAATAAGGGGCTAGTAACGCCCCGGTAGATCCCCTTGAAGCCCTGCTGAGTACAAATGGATTGCAAACAGTGCAAAGTGCCTCTGTATCTGGGATTGTTTGAATCTTGGGTCTGGATGCAAACCTTCACTGTGTCCAAAGGATGGCCAATTAATACACCAGCAGAGCCTAAAACAGCAAGCTTTCAGATGCTTCAAATGGAAAAGTTGCCAGTCTCTTACCTCCAATGCACCCAGCAAGAAAATCAAGGGCCATTTCCTCCGGGACTTTCAATGTGATACACGTCGACGAAGGTGATTATCTTTAGAGTATCCGAATGGAATCTTTCAACTAAAATGTTCGAATAAAAATTGCGGGAGTCTTGTGGTAAAGATAAACGCTCCATGTACTATCTCGAAATGATCTGGAACAAAAACAGTTGCTGAATTTTTTTTCATTTAAAACTTATGTTCAAGATTTTCGTTAATGCTGAAAAAGGGTACATTTTTTGAGCTGTAAAAGACAGTTTTTCTGCTAGAATTCGGCAAATAAATTCTTGAAAATCACGCAGTTTGATGACGAAAGCGGTGATATCGGCAAGAAATGTTCAAAACACATTGCTTAACAAACATCATGCAGAAATCAGTAACATTAATAGCTTGGCCGGTTGATAATACTCAGATTTGCGCAACATAAAACGGCCATTTCCGTTAATTAATTACTTGTCTGATTTATCGTTTCCAAAAGACCATGGAAAGTTTGATTCTTTTCATTAGCACTAACTGATAAACTCTCCCTTTTTGTTAAGAAAATGCTGTTTTAATCAAACTTTTATTATCTGATTATCCATTGTTTAAGTGAGCGATTGATTTTCGCTCAATATATAATTAATACTGTTGGAAATATCGCAGCACCAAAAATACAGTTTGGTTATCATTAATTCCTGAGTTCAGGGTTTATCAATTTTCAATTTGTTTATCACTTCTAATTAGCGTTACACGAGCAACTAAAATAAATCTGCCGTAGTTGCAAAAATTTCCCAAATCTAGTAGTTAAACGAAAAAAATCGACATATCACCAAAATCTAGCTGAGCAAACTATCAACTTACCTAATTTATATAAAATGCGCCCAAATATCCAGCGCTTCCATTAAAAAGCTGATCGGCTACAAATCCTTGAAACTACTCTTTTCAAAAATAACTGGGGAAGATGAACACAATCTACAACATCCAAGCTCAATGAAACACTTTAACTAACTATCAAGAAGCGCGGATTTCTTTGATAGAGCGAATGCTTAGCATGCTTATCGGCAGAGGTCAATCATGTTTTTTCTTGATATGTACATCAATATGTTTCATGTAGTTTTCCTAATAAGCCTAGTTATGGGCAGCAGAATACTTTTTTAGAGTTATCATATCACGGAAGCCGGAGGAAGGCCGTTGCTCTAAACTAAAAAACTTAACTGATAAAGCACCAATAGTGGTTTGCGTATGTTTATTTTACGCTGGTCTCTTAATGCCCCAAGGGTTGTAAAGTTTGCAGTGGATTCGAATGTTCCTAGAAATCACAGTTGAAATCTGTAAGACTTTTGATGTGAATTACTTAGTTACTTTTGCTCAGATTCTTGCTTTAAAATGTATGATAATGTTAAACGCGAATATTGCTATCCTAAGCCGGTCAGTTACGCTTTTATGCGTTGTAGTTTGAAAATTGGTCTTTAAACTCAAAGATATGGAACAATCTAGTCCAATCTTTAATAGCTAAAGAAATTTTTAAAACATGGGGCCACACTTGTGTTCTGAGGAGAAGGAAGTTATAGTTTCATTCCACAACTTTCCATTTTGCGGAGCGGTTTTTTGTTTTTGCATTGAGCTCTTCTGAGACATTTTTTTGAGTAATCGCTTGAGGCATAAAAATGGCTGTTTCAGCAATCGATGAATAAAGCTTTAATTTACATGCTGTATGAACTTCGCTTTATTCGGTCCATTCGTTCCGATGAAATAAATTTTTAAACTACGAATATTTTTTATGCGGTGTTTCATTTAAGAACCGTGCTCTTCTGATGCAAGTTTGCAGATCAACTGGCTGGTACTTTGAAATACGGGTTTCGCCAATCTCAGCAAAAACTTCAGTTTATTTTTTGATCCAAATCTGGTTTCAAGAGACTAATTGGCTGCTAAATTATGAGTTTTCAAACTTTGTAAAATTTTGCGCTTTTTTTAATTTTTGCTCTATGTTAAACTTTCTTCCGCGTTTCTAAGCAATCATTTAGGGCATCAGAATGCGAGTGTTAGCAATCGATAAAGGAATATTTAATCTATGCGTGTTGCAAATGTGGTTCTAGTCGAGTCTCTGGTCCCTGCATAACAAATTTTTAAGCTTTGGACACTTGTTCAGCTGAGGCTCTATTCTGAGCAAACCGCTTCATACATTGAAACACGATTTGAGCAATCGAGGAAAAACCGCTCGTATATTTAAGTTCTTTTAACTTTGAAAATTTTTCCGCTGTTTGTTTGTTGCTCACGCTCATGCATCATGCTGTTATTTGCAGCGTTTCTGAGCAGCCATTTGCTTTATCACAATTCGGGTTTCACCAGTCGATGGGTAATTCTTCGCTTTATACGCGTTGCTAATTTGGTTCTAGTTGAGTATCTGGTCCCTACATATTTTTTTATTTGAACACTTTGTGTGCAGTTTTTCAATTTGGCACCTTCTGATGCTGTTTACGGAGCAACTGCCTGAGACATTGAACTGTTTTCGGCAGCAGTCGATGAAGAAAATCGTAGTTCATACGTGTTCCAAATTTGATTTAAATAGACTAATTGGTTTCTACATTATAAGTTTTCAAACTTCAGAAAATTTTGGACGGGTTTAAATTTCTGCACTATGCTCTGCTGCGGCTTTATTCTGAGCAAAGACTCAGTAAATTAAAATACCGATTTGAGTAATCCATAAATAAATGCTGGACAAATAAAATTTTAAATTTTATTCTTCTGGGATGGATTTGTTTTTGCACCATGCTCTAATTAGGCGACTTTCTGAGCAACCGCCAGAAGCATAGAAACGTAGGTTCCAGCAGTCGATCGAGGAATCTAATTTTTATGCGTGTTGCAAATTTTAGTTTCACTCCAGTAACTG